TATATATATACACATATACATACACACCTGTATGTATATATATGTGACTATATGTGAATATGTTTCCATACGTCATTGTTAGGTGCACTCATGCTTACTCCTTACCCACAGGAGCCCCATGCAACTGAACAGGACTCGCCTGTAAGGTTTCCTAGGGAGTCATCATCACAAGGTCTGTCTTATGCGGAGCCATGATTCAAACCACCAACCTTTCACGTAGCATCTGAGTGCTTGACGGCTGTTCCACTAAGGCTCTTCTGTTTACATACATGAGCCAATTACAGACCAAGAACGACAATCAACTCTGCACTCACTCCCCCAGAAGCAGCCCCACCGTCCGACCCCTGCTCTTACGTTGCCCTCATGCTGTTCTTTGGCTCCAGAGGAATCTCCAGGACTTTGGTGTTGCCCACGATCTTCTCGTAGCTGGTGGTGGTGACCGTTTTCCCCGTAATCCGGTGCACCTGGTAGAAGGCGTGAGGCTTGAGGATCCGCTCATCAGCTGTCCCAATGAAAATCTGAAGCCCCAAAGGCTTGTTCTCCATGTAGCCATGGAGCTAAGGGAGAGAAGAAAACCAAATTAGTTCAGCAATGTCATGTGCGGGGCAGAGGTTCCAGCTTAGCTAACAAAAGAGAGCAGGGAAGTTGGTGGTGGACATCAGAAGAGCATGGAGTTGTCGCATCTAGAAGACCAAACAGTAGTTGACCAGGGAGCAATCCTGATGTCTACTCATGGAGGTCTGCGAGATAAGTAATAACAGAAGGACCTCTAAAATGGAATAGTAATGTCCCTTGGTCGTGCCCACTTGAGTCAGGGCCACCCAGGAATCTTCCACTTAAAACAAAAAGTCAATAATAAAGTTTACTAATTAAAAAAAATGGAATATTAAGCAGTCATGAGAATCAACAAGGTAGAACAGAATTGCATTTATGGAAAAACATCCAGAAACTACTTAATGGAAAAGTAATGCAGTGTTGTAGGGCAGTAAAGATAGAAGATAATCTGATAAATGAAACAAATTCTTGAAAACAGCTGCCTCCAAAAGATTCACTTTTTACATGACAATATTCCAATTAGCTTTGACACTGGAATTTAAAATGAGAAAAGGGCATAACAAAAGCACCACAATCTAAATCAAAACAAAGGGCTTCAAGCAGCATATAACTGACCAAGGATTAGCACCAGAATACACTACCACCTACAAATGAATACACCAGAGACCACATACCCCTGGTACTCTATTTAACTGATAAAGGATTAGCACCAGAACACACCACCACCTACAAATGAATACACCAGACAACATTCCCCAGGTACTCTATTTAAATCTGAATCCTACTCCCAATGACATTCCCTATATCCTTTTCTTTCTATTTATTAATGTCTAGTATTTAAAGCTCCATCCCATCTACTTTGGACACATGGCTGGGAGGGACCAATCCTTGGAGGACGACATCATGCTTGGAAGGGTAGAGGGACAGGACAAGAGAGGAAAACCTTGGGTAGGACTGATTGGCCCAGTAACTGGGTAATGAGGGTAGGCGTGTCAGAGACAGACTGGCCCAGCGTAGGGCAGGCTTCAGAGCTGCGGTGAACAGGGCTGCTAAGGGTTGCAGTTGATTCAATAGCACATAACAATGTAAGAACCTTGGCAGAGTAGTGGATTTCATGTTGGACTGTGTGCTGTCAAGTTGGAACTAACCCACAACTGACCCTCCAGCGGATTTTCAGAGGCAGTTAATCACACAGGATGAGAATGCCCATCCTTTTCTTGTGGAGGAACCAGTGGATATGAACCACGTGCCTTTGAGATTGCATCACAACTTGTTACCACTGGGGGGGGGGAGAGGGGAAGAGAGAGGAGAGAGAGAGAAGAGATAGAACAGAGAGAGGAAAGAGAGAATGGAGAAGGGAGGAGAGAGAAGAGACCACAAGAGAGAGGAAACAATCTGCTCCCATTATAATTTATAGCCTCAGAAATCCAACAGAATTGGTCATCAAGAAGGTGGTCATCAATGAGAACCAGCCCACTGCCAGTAGAGTTGGCCATGAAACAGCACACTTGATGCCTTTTGCCTAGGCCTACCCTCAGTGAGCTGGACTGACACAGTGGCTGTAGCAATGGACGCAAATGTGTCAGAGTTGAAGAGGACGGACGGCACAGAGCAGGGTTCAGAGCTGCCGTTTATGGGGTTAAGAGTCATACTTGACTCACTGGCAACTAACAACAACATCTCTCACAACTCTAATATCACCTTCTTGAAAATAAGGAAACTATTAAGTAGTTAAATATATCTGTTTAATTGGAGGGGAAAAAACCCTCCAAACACCCAGAAGAGTGCTTAGCACAGAGTAGGGAGTCGACCACATATTTACTGAATACTCTAAAGAACTTATCTCGTAAAAAATGAGAAATATTTAAACAAGCGAATCACAGAGAAACATATGGTTACTAGCATAGAACATATGTCTAATCTGAATTGTAATCAGGAAAATGCAAATTAAACCACCATCAGATACTATTTTTTTTCCACTCAAAAGATTGGCGCACATGTAGATACTTAGTAATATTAAGCATTTTGGAGACAATAGTGAAACAGACACTCTCTCACAGCTGACAAGAATATAAACTGGTAGGGCTATTTTAAAGTGCATTGGAGTGGTAGCTATTAAAATTTAAAAAAAAATACATGTACTCTGAGAACTAGTAATTCCCCTTGTCAGTATGGTCCCCAGAAACACGGAGCACATAGGAGATGTGGCAGAAATGTTTATTAAAACAAACACAGCAATGAACAGTTACTTACATCAACAGACCTATCATTAATATGACAAGTCTAGGCTCTGAAATACTGTGAAGTTATTTTTTTAAAGGGAAGGTAGAGGTCTGTGAACTGATGAGAAAAATCTATGATATGCTGCTTTAAAGTATAAATCAATTCACAGAAAAAGAAGTCTAGTATGATACAACTTATGCCAATGCTTAGCCTTTTCTATACATTCATTTGTAGAAAGGCCAACGGACAGAAGCAGCTGTATAAGGCTACATGCCGGACAAACTCCACCATCCCCACCTCTGGGAGAGGAAGGGGACTTGCCGATTGAGAAGGCTGTCTCAGGGGAATTCAACTGTATTCACGACATTTTAATATTTTACAGAAATGAATGTGCTCCTGGGGAACTTGTGGAATTTAGCCTTGTTTAAGAAAAGAGTTACAAAACACTTTTTTTCTTTTTCACGGAATTCAGACCTTCACCTTACCACTTCCCAGCTAAGAACCACAGTTGTCTTTGTTGTTGTTGTTGTTGTGTACCATCGAGTCTGAATCGACTCATCGCTGACCTTCCCGCGGGTATTCAGAGGCAGCAAATTACACGAGAGGAGCCTGTGTTTCTCCCACGGAGCAGCTGATGGATTTGATCTACATACCTCTGGGCTGGCAACTCAACTCTTTACCACTAAGCCACCAGAACTATTTGAGAACTACTAGACAAACCACTTCATCCTTCTTTGCCAGTTGAGAGGCGTTTCTTTCTCTGCAAATTAGGGGAGCTGTGATAACTCTCACTATGACCCTGTCCTTCTCTAAGGCTCTGGGGGGCGGCGGGGAGGGGGGTTCATGCCAGTGAGCTCTTGTCAACTGGGTGGGAAAGCAAAGAAAAGTTACAAGACAAGAGATTTACAGCTGGGACCAGAACTGGGTCAGCCCCATGATTTCCATCAGTGCATCAAGGAGTTTGGGGATGGGTTTTTTAAAAAAAAATAATAATAATTCTATAATTAGGGTCATTATATTTTATACAAGTATATTGGGGGGGGTTTTCTCCCCTTTAAATCCTCTTATTAATTCATAAACACAGCAAGTTTTATTGGACAATGTTGATCTTTTGAAAGGTGGAGAAATTCTCGTGTTCCCTTCTAAAGACTATTCAGAGACACAGGCTGGCAGTGGAACAGAGCGGGTGACAGACAGCCCTTCTCGTAATCCGCCACTCATAATATTTGCCTAAGTGTCTGATACATACCCCAAGAAATGGCCCAGGGCACAGACGAAAAGCTAAGATCTTTCTACCCAAATCAAAGAACAGGAGATTGTTGTCTGCGCCCCATGTCTACACAGGTGACAGTATTAAGAGATTTTGGTTTTGCATTGGCTTTGCATTGAGCTCCAAGATAAAATCTATTTCTTCACCTCCTCTCTTGGGTTTTTCAAAATTGGGAAACACTATGGGGATAAGAAGCAAAGACAGGGTAGCTAGCCATACCTGCCTGCCTAAGGATACTTCCTCCTCCTGTACAGAGACAAGTCAAAATCGTATCCTGAATGTATTCATGGAAAAAAGCCAGGACACCTGGAGTCCTTTATCGGGTGTCCTGAGAGTTCTAGCCGAGGTCAGCCACTTCTTCACTTTCCACTGCTGACACCTTGCTCACTCCCAGTCAGCGTTCAGTGTCACTGGGCAGAAACCACTGGTCCCTAAATGGGCCTTTCTGGTCTTTTACAGAAGGTCAGACTCAGACACATATCCTTTAGTAGTTTCTTATGCCTCAGAAGATGGAAATTTGGTGCTGTGGGCTACACAGCTTCCCACAAATGTTTCTTTGTATCTCACTATCCCATTAGGATCCTGCGACACCAGCCATCTCTGTCTGTCTCCTGAACACACAAAGTTCTTCCTTCCTCTCCTCAGGGCCTTTGCACAAGCTTTCTTTTCTGCCTGAAATCCTTCCATTGGGTCTTTACATCCAGATCTCAACTCCAGAGGTACCGAAGAGTCAAGTGTAAAAATTTATGTCAAGTCTGCTGTCAAAAATATTTTTAAACGCCTGAAGAGCAAGGATGTTAGTTTCAAGACTAAGATGCACCTGCCCCAGGCCAGGAAATTTTTCAATTGCTTCATACGCATGTGAAAGTTGGGCCATGAATTAAGAAGACCAAAAAAGAACTGATGTCTTTGACTTGAGACACTGGCAAAAAGTACTGAATAGACCATGGCTGTCAAAAGAACAAACAAATCTATCTTGGGTGAAGTCTAACACCCAAAATGCTCCCTAGAAGCAATAATGGTGAAGCATTTTCTCACATATTTTAGGGATGGTCTCAGAAAGAGCCAGAACTTGTTGAAAGACATCATGGAAAGCAGAGGGTCAGTGAAAGAGGAAGGATCCCCAATGAGACGGACTGACACAGGACGTAACAACGGGCGTGAGCACAGCAGAGAGGCTGAGGACGGCACAGGACTGGTCAGCGTTTTGTTCTGCCGTCCATGGGGTTGCGGCGAATCAGGAGCAGACTCAAAGGCATCGAACAACAATTAAGAGTCAGTCGCTACCATACTGGTCACTTTGGTTGCATGAAATTGACCACGTTCAAGTACTGATACCACAAAACCAGTAAAGATGACAAATGAAGACTTTTGTATTTCTGGAGGACTAACTGCCAAACAACTTACTACCAGCACCAGAATATTTCTTTCATTGCTCTCTGAAATATCCTTGTTTTCTTAGCTCTTTATCTGCTCTGTATCCTCTCTCTGTGACCTGAACATGACCCA